TTAAAACAAACACGCACACATATCATTAACTCAACCACAGTAAAGCCAATAAACTGTGAGCTTGTGTCTTTGCTAGTTGACCAATCGAACATAATTGAACGGACCCAAGAAGCTGGTTTTATTCAATCAATTCAAGTATTTTTCATACAACGTTTTAAAGAAGAATGGTAGAAAACAACTTGCTACTCAAATTCAAAAACATTGAAGAGAATCAAAGGAAGACAAAATGCAATCATTGTAGAATAAAAAGTAAAAACAAATAAGGAAATCCCTGTACATTATAAGGAATAAAAGGGAAATGCAAGATAACGGGCCAGCAAAACGGGCTCAATAATCACCACATGAACATATAGCAATGCTGTAATATATTATTAAAAGGAAAATAGAATTATAGTTTGGTGTACTTTATATCTGTGCAGTTTGACTAATCAAATGTGAACCCATAAATGTCAGGTAGAAACTACTATATGGATATACTTACCTTTAGAATAATATTTTCTGGGTTGAAGGTTGAGCTTGACAGATAGCTTTTAGAAGGTATTGTGGTTTTAGCACTGGTCCCTGTGAATGATTTTGTGCTGTCACCATTGACCAAATCTGACTTCTTATCATCCTTTTGAGTTTCTGGTTTCCCTTCAGCAGTCAAGAGCCAGTTCCATAATTTTCCATCATCAAAAATAGAGATCAAATGTGTCTCAGAAACTATAAAAGACTTGTCACAAAAATCAAAAGGATTATCAGGATCCTTGTCAAGGTAAGTAGAACTAGACGCATCAGTCTTTGCAATGTTCTGAAAATGGAATTTGACTGGCTTAAAAGGACCGCAAGTACCGAAGGAGAAGGGACAGAGGTACCAAGTGAGGGCATTAACTCATCCATGGAGCCATGGTATACACCTGCTCCCCTCTGTAATGACATGTAGACATATAATATGAGGAAATGGAGAAAGAGGTGGGAGAGCTCAAGTTCCAACAATTGTCTATGTTTTCACATGCATGTATGTGCAGGACATTTGAATATTTGTAAGGCTCATGTATTATGTGTAAAACGTAAAACGTATGTAGCATCCATTAGGACAAAATAACAGACGCTTTGGGCCTTGAATACTTGGTGCAAACCCAATCCCCCCCGGTCTCAAAGTGTCATTGAAGGTCTGATTACAGATTACCCAAAAAACAAAAAAAAAACCAAAAAAAAAAAAAAAGAGGGGCAAAAAATTGCAGAGTGAAAAGTATTTCATATAAAACAGAGCACTGAAATGGTTTAACAAAACACAAGAAACGCAGTTAAGTCACGAGTTGATTATAAAGAAACATAAACTGCTGATAATATATACTTTATCCCATAGCTACAGTTGAATTGACGACTAGGACCTTCACAGAATAGCTTAAGACGGAAAAGTTATAACTATTCTAGAATCTACTATATGATCATTATTTTGTTTCTTTTCATTTGACAAGTATCTTATTGGACGGAGAGAAGATGCCAGCATGTCAGTTACAGAATAACTTCTTTTTTGAGATAATCTACAGAAAATGCCAGCAAATATCTCTTTTGCCGCTAGCACACCTTTACCCTTCTTAATGATGCAAATCATTCAGAGTTTTAAAAGATTATACAGACACTGTATTCCGTACGACTACAAACAGAACTGCTAATCAGCCCTCCCTCCAAATTAATTCTAAACAAGTAATAGTCTTAACAGTCGTTACGATGTATTATCAAGCTCAGCATGCGAGAAAATTTTGCTTTTTGCGTTCACAGCTGTTGCCTGTATAGTCGACATAGTTTTGCTTTATTGCTCTCTTACAACACCCAATAGCTGATAATTGCTGTCTTTGACGATGCATGCATAATTTACACCTGATTAAGAAGAGAGACATCCAAATATTCATAATTCAAGGCAAGAAACGCTTACGGTTTCCTACGCCAGGTGCTGAGCTTGCCATCGAGATGAGCACAGTACATCCACTCGTTGTTTAGATCAAGCAATACCTCAACAAACTTCCCGCAACCACGAGGCAATGCAGCAGCAAAAAGAGTGGTCTCGTACTCCAAATCAAATACAATCAACTCTTTCGGAAATGTGATAAACAATATGTGCCTCCATTGCGGGGAGAACGCGAACCTCGCCATATAAAGCGGAAACAATGCCGACGCAGGCGACGTTGACACATCACTCGCATCTCTCTCCAGCTTATTCAGTTCGCTACAATCGGTCCGTATCTGAAACTCCTTTATCACAAAATAGCTTTCACTTTCACCGAGAATCTTGATACCTAAGAGAAAGCCTTTAAGCCCGAGTGCGCAGGTGTGCCGAGAATCAAATGGGTCACGGCGAAGGCAGGAGAAGAATTCAGGGGATGCGTCGTACTTCCAAACACACCGGCCAGTCAACGTGTTATAAATGGAAATCGTAGACGGTCCGTTGATAGCAACAAGGAAGTAAAGGTCGGGTCGAGCTTGAACCCAGCACAGGTCTTGGATTCCGAGTTTTGAATCAGTCTCGAACCACATAACAGCGGTCTTGAGTCGAAAATCGAGCAAGGCAATGCGTCCTTGACGATCACCGGCGGCAAGTAGGAGGTGGGAAGAGGAAGGCTCTGTGGATAGAAGGTCGCGATTCAAAGGAAATGGGCTCCAGCGTACGGAGGTAACAAATGGGGAAAGAGATGGAGCGGTGGAAGATGAAGATGGCGAAGACGGAGGCGGCATGGGAATGGCGGAGACGAGCTGCATAGAACGAGTGTCGAGGACGGAAACGGAGCTGCCAGAAGGGAAAGCAAGAAGATCATGGGAGCTCAAATCTGCGGATCCAAAATTGCTGCGGCTAGGAGGGCCCGGAAGCATGCAATTCCAAGAGTCTGGACATGATCTTGGGTTCGACATTGCAATGCTTCGTCAATGTCGATCAATTCAGAAGGATGAAGAAGAACCACAAGCAGATTGGCTTCGATCGCAAGAATGGGTCTCAGCAAAGTTCTCAAGTGTTCTCCATTTTACTAGTCGCCGTAACACCTATGCAGTGTAGATGGAGAGAGAATTGAGATGCAGCGCTTGTTGGGCGCGCTTCGATTTAGGGGGGGTCCTCAAATGTAGGTCGCGCAATGGGTCCTCACAAAGTCACGAAAAAGAGACCGTTGAGATTCTTTACGGACCCGGTGCGGTTCTTGGGGCAAAAAAATGAGCTGGTATTTCCTCCACTCTATCAGAAAAAATCATTGTAAAATTAAATTCAGGAAATTAGGTTAATGATTTCAAAAAATACAGCTTCCAAAAATTATAAATAAAATTTTTTAAATTTTTTAAAATAGCTCATTCATAAAATTAATTAAATAAATTTTAGTTTTTTATCCTCAAATTGAATTTATTATAACTAATTCTTAATTGATTAAATCTTTTCTTTTTTTTTTTTTGAATCATTCCTTTTTTTTTTAATATAAAAGGCACCGCAAAGCTTTTTCTCTCTCTTCCTCTCTATTTTTCTTAAGAACACTATGAAGAGGACATTAAATATTGAAGAGGAATATTCATTTCTAGAAGTGAAAGATTGGACTGTAATCTATTATCTATCATCAAATTTTTGCCATCTTCACATCTCTCGGTAACATTAATTTTTTTGCGAACTGTGTTTGATTCATTTTGAAAAAATGATTATGTGTTTTTCGTGTTATTGATCTGAGATACTATTTCTTTTCATGTATGGATATGGTAGTGTTGGAAAGACGTATGTTTAGATGACACTTTCTACTTCATTAAGATCTAGAGGTAAAATAGTTCTTAATATAGCATCAAGCGGGATAACCTACCCGAAGGACATACAACTTACTCAAATTTTGTATTCATCTTTCTAGGATTGAAGATACTATACATAGCATGAAACATAGGAGCAATTTGGCTAAATTATTAGTTCACATATCATTGATCATATAAGATGAGGCTCCAATGGCACACAAGTTTTGTCTTGAAGCTCTTGATAGATGCTTAAAGGATATTCTAAAGTTAAGTAGCCTATTAACTAGTGATTTTCCTTTTGAAAGAAAAGATACTATGTTTGGTGGAGACTTCAGGCCTTCATATTATTTTAGATGGGTCAAGAGAAGACATTATTTTTGTAACCATTAACTTTTTATTTTAGGACAACTGTCAACATTTGACACTAACAATAACATGAGACTTCTAGAAACAAATAATAGAGTATTTATGAGTGCTCTCTAGGATTTTGCTGAATGGATCATCTCAATTGGTAATGAAACTGCTTCTGAAGCTAATGAAGGATTTATAGATATTAAGATTCTAGAGATAGGGCTATACTAGCTCTTATGTAGGTTGTGATTGAAAAAGTAAGCAAGCACATGTTATCCTTGCTTCCTAAGAAAAAGTTGTATACATGAGCTTTGATAGTGTTATTAAACATGCTGGAGATATGAATTTACTTCATGACTTGCACTCTACACATTTTCTAAATTGAATTACAATGTCAAGCTTCTTGAATTATGAAATAAGGCTTAAAATGGGTGCCCCAATTTTGATACAAATCGAAACATTGATAAGTTTACGGGTTGTGCAATTGTACACGTCTTATAGTTACATGAGCTAGAAAACATGTTATTGAAACCCAATAAATGCATGGATCAACTATAAGGATGAAAGTATGTATACTAGGTATTGCTATGTGTCTATCTGATTTAGGGTTGTCATTTATTATGAGAAGGGAGCAATTTCTCATTATGTTAGCATTTGCATTGCCCATTAATAAGAGCTAGAATTTGATCCCGTGTCATATTAGTTTGTACATAATTTATATGTTTTTTACCAATGATCAATTATATGTTGTTGTTTCTTATGTTCAAAGCATGGAGAGTTTAAAAATATTAGTTCCTGATAAGGATAATTACTATAGAGATATAACTTTAAATGTCACTTGTAAGGAAGTCTTCGATAATTTGATTTAACTAATTATGAAATTTTATTAATTTACCTCCCATCTTATCCATTTACACTATACATTTAGTTTTTACCATTTGCTTTACTTTAATATGTATATATAGTATTAATTATTATAATTATATAGCTCCACTGTATATGTGATGATATATGGATAAAATATCTTTTACAAATTATTCTTTCAGACCTATTTATAAAAACTGTAGTATAAAACTCGGGCATCACACGAGTACTTTACCAGTTTGTATTCATATTATAGACGTACATGCTTGGTTGATCAATACTAGGATTAAAATATCACTTTGTTTCCAAAAAAAAAAATGTGTGCCCGTTTAAATTTTAGTTAAGTATAATTGATTATGAAAATAATTAATTAATATGATTGATTTTTTTATAATTAATTATGTTATAACGCAACCTATTTGGATATAGTTTTTCTGAAATTGATTTTGAAAAAATTGAAGATGCTTGGACGATTTAGTCAGAATCAATTTTAGCTGTACAAATTACCATAAATGACATTATTTTTAAATTTAAATTATTAATAAAGTTGTATATAATATTATTAAATTTGTTAAATAATAAAATATATTATTTAACTTATATACTTGATTAATTATAGAAATTTAAACATTATTAATATTAAAAATTTAATTGACCTAAATAAATAACTATATAACTATATATATATATATATATATATAAGTTCACCTAATATTTGACGTGGCTGCCTTCTTTGATTTGTCCACAAAATTGAGTTTGGGTCTTTAGCATTGACTGGGTTAAGGTGGGGGAGAGAAGTCAAGAATGAACCCGACTGATAGAACACATTTGTTACCCACTTTTATTTGTCAATTAGGACCATTTTATTAATGATTTATCACCTTCAAGTGCACACATTGCATTAGATTTGGAACTTTGCCTAAGTTTCTAAGATCAGTGCACTAGGGGCATTTTGGTCCAAAAAATAAACTTTTGAGAAAATGTACAAGAAAAATTGACAAAGTGCATTTTATGTCCAGTTGATGAATGGTGAAATTATATTTTTAAAATTCATTTTAGTTTGGGAGTAATTAAATAAAAAAGTCAACACTTTCTTAAGTGTCTTAGTTTGTCCTAATTTTTTGTTTGCCTTTGTGTGAAAATTTTTATATAATTTTGTGCAGCCTGAAACTTGATTAATTTAATAAATTCTCCCTTCTAATTATGAATTTAATTCTGGACATGAATTAGATTTTATTATATCATATGCTATTTAATTGAATTATGTGATTTATGTGACATAGGTGGCATGTGACTTGTGCATCAATTGGGCAATTGAGGTCAACACTCCTTGAGGACAATGGCTGATGGTTTGCACGTGAATTATGATTATTTTGAGGGATTAGATCAGCTAAAATGATGTGGATGACACATGGGAAATTAGGCACACATTGGAATCATCTACAAACCAATAGGAAGTTGCCACCTTGCAAGTGTGACAAGGCTCCCATTTACATTTTAATTTCTTTTTCCTTATTTTAATTAAGCTTCAGCTGATGGGACCAAGGAGCACGCCATTTTAAGTCTCAAATGGGATCCAACACATATCTATTCATCTTCCACATTCTCTCTCTCTTGTTCATAGTGTTCTTCATTTTCTCTCTTTTGTTCTTCATTTTCCAGCACCCTAACCTCCATTTTCAGCCACCAAACCTCCACAAAACTCATACCATTCTTCTCCTCTCTTCATTTTCGTTCCATCCCTTCCATTTTCACAAGGATTGAAGCTCATTTCCATCATTCAAGAGCTATGGAGTTTGGCCTTCACAAGCAATCACTAGGGTTCTTGAAGATGAAGATTGGCTAAGTTTCTTTGTGGAATCCTAGAGAGATGAAGATGGAGGATGAGTCTTGAGCTTCAAATTGGCTAAGTTCTTTTGTTTCCTATCCTCTTCTCTTTTTACTAGATGGTTAGATTCCTTAATCTAGGGTCTAATCATCTTAGCTTATAAATTCTAATTTGAATTTGATGTTGATGTAAAGAGAGAGGATTGTTTCATTTAATTTCTTCCTTGGACAGCCATGACTGAATTTTGCCACTCTTTGTTTGGCACATAATCTTGTGTTTTTCAATTAGTGAATTTCTTGTGTTAATATTGCATAATCTTGTGGTGTTAATGCTTGTGTTGTTGAGTAGCTTGACATAATCTTGTGGTTGCTCAATTTATGTGTTTGACCATGGCTGTTGAGAGAGGATTTTGAATGAATCACTTGGCTAATGTCTTCACCAATTGGTTAATTGAACTAGGGACTTTAATCTAAGACCTAGGGAGGTTAGCTAATTAGGTTAATTGGCTTAGGATAATTTTCTTAAGTCATGACAGCTTTAGTCAAGAGGAAAGGGAAGCTAAACTTAGCCTAATCATGAGAAGATAATGAGTCCAAAATCAACTAATCTCTAGGGTTCCATTATTGTAAAAAGGGAAGTTCATTTCACTCACTTTCACTAGCATTTTAATTACTTGCATATTAGGTAATTAGTTTAGATAATTAGCTAGATAACTAAATTCCTACAAACTTTGGTTGATTTATTTCACTAGATAACTTTCAATTAGACTTAAAACCATTCCTTGGGAGATGACCTAGGGTTGGCCCTATATTGCATTAGGGTTAGCTTTAGTGTAATTTTGAGGATAAGCGACTAATTTCCTATCAAAATTTTGGCGCCGTTGCCGGGGAATGGTTTAAGTTTAATTCTAAGGTTGTTTAGTACTTAATTTACATTTTTAGTGTTCCTGGAAAATTTTTTGAAAAATTATAAAAATTTTTGTTTTGTGTTTTGTTTAGTGTTTTTTGTGTGTTTTGAGTGTTTTTATTCTGTTTTGAAAAAGAAAAAAAAATTTAGTGCAATTTTCGTTGGTTTGGTGTAGAGCTGAAAATACTCTGTTTCTAGTGTCTCTGTCTGAAATTGAAAAATTAACTGGGAATGAGTCTGAGGAATTTGAACTTGAAATTTATTTCATTGAAAGCTCTATATCTTAGCTTCACTTTAAAATTGGTTTGGTCAATTTTGGACGTGGGAAGTGTCCTGTGGAAATTTTACAATCTAACAAGGTCCAGGGAGCCATTACAGAGGATTCCCAAA